GAGAAGTGGGCCTCGGCCTTGCCTTTGGTAGGCTTGGGCTTCTGGAAGTTGTTAGACTTTCCAAGATGTTGTTCATAAAGCTTGTTCTTAAAGGAGGTGTCTGTTGCCTTGGGGAACATGCACTCCTCCTCCAGGATGGAGAAGATGCCCATAGGCTAAGAAGGAGAAAAAAGGAATGATAATGATAAGTCCTTTAGAAAGTTATGCCCTAGTAGTTTACATAGTAAACCTGAAAGCACAGCATTTCAAAAGAAGACTTGGAATGATAAACAGGCATGATCCTACTTTTTTGCTCTCCTCTACTACTGGAAGGTGAAACAATCATTATGTACCAAGAACATATGGGAAATATGTTTACTAGAAAGACAGTTTAAAAAAAAAGTAGTACATCTGTGCTATTTGGCAAACTTTATGTTCAGTCTATAAAATTAAATGCCGAAAGTACCATTTCAAAGCTGAGTCTTTATTCCATAAATGTATATATCTGAATACTTTCTTTCCTACTGACAGTGTAATTTCTTTCACCTCAAATCTAGACATAACAAAAGTATGAAGAGAGATTATACAAGTATATAAGGACTAAAAATGATCCATTCCCAGTAGGAATGTGCATCTTGTGTCGTATCATTAAAGCTCTTTGTACTGTTATGCTCCGTTCCCCACCTCTACTAAGTTAAGTGATGGCAATTTGGTTTTGCTTTTTAAGTAGTTTGACTCCTTTGAGTGGCAAATTTGATATGAACGACTGAAAGAAAATTCAACTTTGATGATGTCAGAAATTCACAGATTATCTCCCCAGAACTATTTTGATGATCCAGAAACTGAAATATTAGTGAAGAAAATAAATCCCTGACCTGAGGAACACACAGTTTTTATGAAATAATAGGTATTTTCTCCAAATACCTACATCACATCTTTTCTCCAAATTGTGTAGATCTAGGTCTGGTTTTAAACTCTGATATTTCTTTTTATCTTTTCTTTTCTTTCTTTCTTTCTTTTTTTTTTTTTTCTGGTGGATTTTGACTTGTATATTTGAAGTTTTCCTAGATGGCAATTCCATTTATTTTTCCCTTCCCATTGCTTAAGGAAGAGTTCATACATATACTTTATTGGTATCAATAGGTACACATGCACTCCCAATGATGAATTTCAGTATATTCAGATCCAATGTAACTATTGCTCTCCTCTCTTGATAATGGGAAATTCAGGGCTCATTTTCTAGTTAAGGTCATACAGAGGTTTGGAGTTTATTCAGTAGTCATCATGAATAGAGGACAACAATAACAGAAAGACTAACCTTCCACCTGTTGAAACATCTTGACATATCCTGCCTTGGTACACGTAGGGGATGATACATAATAAATGCATAATACACGGGGTTTTCAGGAAACATGGAAGCTGCGGTGATTGTTGGAGTTTAAGGACCCTTGTGACGATCTCCGAGTGCCCTCTGGGGCACAGAGGAGGATGCCACTGGAATCATCTTCCTCCTTGATGCCATCATCCTTTCCTTCTGTCTTACCCACAGTACCAGATAGTATTACTAACTTTTCCCCTCCCCCAATGTCTTACATCACCTCCCAAGAGATGAAGTGTATTCTTCACTGGTTTGCCAGTTGGTCAGGTCCCCAGCGAGAACGTTTCCTACAGGACCTGGTAGCTAAGGCAGTACCAGGAAAATTACAGCCACTACTGGATGGTCTGGAGCAGCTTAGTGTGTCCGGGGCAAACCGACCACCTTGTATCTTTGAGTGCCAGCTACGTCTTTGGGATCAGTGGTTTCGAGGTTGGGCTGAGCAGGAGCGCAATGAATTTATCAGGCAGTTGGAGATCAGTGAGCCAGACTTCGTGGCAAAGTTTTACCAAGCAGTGGCTGCAACAGCTGGCAAGGACTGACAGGCATTCAGATCAGAGAAGATAACCACAGATGATGGAGTCAAGGCCGTAACTCTACAGTGAGAACTGAATTCACATGTGTCACATAAAAGTCTGGGAGTGGTATACAGAACAACTGAATGAACTTGCCTGACCAGCACAGCCATGGTTATCTCAACATTGATAACATGTCAGTGGGACTCCATCTAAGTATAGATGTTATTCATCTAAGCAAATACAGATCATCAGTTTGTCTTCTAGGTTGCTTCTTTCCAAGAGATGCCAAACCCTCTAGAATTTGATTATTTTGGAACTGTACCCAAAGGAACTTACATATATATAACATAAGCCTACTGTTGGCCCATGAAGTGTAGTAGAGCCTTCCTTCCCCAGGGAGAGAAGGATAATAAAAAGTCATATTTTTACAGTCTAGCTAGGTTCAGATGGCTTGTTTTCCTTGCCCACCAGATTCTGGCATAATTACGACACATCCCAACCACTAGCTTTCCCAGTGATGATTTAGTAAAGTTATGGAAAATCAAGAGAGGAAGATAATTAGTAACTCCTTCTTCCACACCATGTATGTTTGAATCCAAATAGCAGTGACTTTTTTCTAAAGTATATGTGTTGTCCTTGAGCTGGTAGCAGGTATTAATTTTGTTTTATAACAATGTGAAAGCCACACTCTTTATAGGTAAAATGGTTTATTTTGTACCAAAATAAAGAATAGATCTTCAGAAAAAAAAAAAAAAAAAAAAAATAAATGCATAATACACCATCATGGGTATAACGTGGTTAATTACAATACTCAGAGGAGTAGCTATAATTGCATTCCTGTCTCCTATTTGTGTGAAATCATGTAGAAATAAAAATGAGGGAGAATGAAGTTATTACAGGGATAATTGTGAATATATGTGTATGTGTGTGAGAGAGATAATTGCTTTCCTACAACCTGCTGTGATTTGTTCATTAGTAACAGATCACTTGTGACATATCTCACAAGCCACCAGAGGATACAGTGTGTCATGGAACACCACTGCTTATTCTTTGAGAACTGGGATTGTAGTTAAGGGAGCCAGGCAATTTTTTTTTTTTAACTTGAAAGCTTGAGAAGTCCTACAAACCTTCTCGATGAGCTCGATGCAGGCGGCCAGGTCCATGCCGAAGTCGATGAACTCCCACTCGATGCCTTCCTTCTTGTACTCCTCCTGCTCCAGCACGAACATGTGGTGGTTGAAAAACTGTTGCAGTTTCTCGTTGGTGAAGTTGATGCACAGCTGCTCCAGGCTGTTGAACTGGGTGTTTCAGATACAAAAGAGTTTGAGTGAGTTTGGAAACTATACTGGTGAGTCAGCAAAGCAGGCAACAAAGCAGAAGGGTCTTTTCCTGCCAGTCATTTACCCAAACAACTCACATCAAAGATCTCAAAGCCAGCAATGTCCAAGACCCCGATGAAGTACTGCCTGGGCTGCTTGGTGTCCAGCTGCTGGTTGATGCGGGTGACCATCCACAGGAACATCTTCTCGTAGATGGCTTTGGCCAGAGCACCCACTGCATTGTACACCTTCAGGAAGAATGGTATTTTTTTTTTAAATAGCTCACAATGATGAGCTCTTAATTCTCCTGTGGTTCAAATAAATCAGGGAGTTTAAGTCTTGTTTACCTGCTGCACATTCTGGCCTTTGGTGACAAACTCATTGCCAACCTTGACCCTGGGGTAGCAGAGGGCTTTGAGCAGGTCAGCAGAGTTCAGACTTGTCAGATAAGCAGCTTTATCAGCAACTGTATGAATAAGGGAAGAATGGTGAAAACTGACCATGGTTTACACAATTAAAGATGTGAATGATGATGAAGGAAAGGTTTTGCTCAAAGAGTAACATGAGAAAACATTATGAAATTTGTTCACTTATTCATATTGCTTCAGAAGCATTGCCACTCTTGACTTTAATTTTAGTCATTTCTTGTGGCAATAAATTGAAGCTTGGGGAATAATGCTCTGTATAATATTTAAAATATGGCAAAATAGCCCACATTACAAAATCGCAAAGTTGAAGATGCTGGCATAGATGTGGAGAGAGGAGAACACTCTCACACTGTTGGCAAACTAACCCAGCCTCTTTGAAAAGAAGTGTGGAGAATCCTCAGAGAACTCAAATTACATCTCCCATTTGACCCTACAATCCCACTACTAGGCATTCACCCAAAAGAAAAAAAATGATTATATCATAAGGACATATGCATTAGATTGTTTATCACAGCTCAATTTACAATCACCAAGATATAGAAACAACCTAAATGCCCATCAACTCAGGAATGGATGAACAAACTGTGATATATGTATACCATAGAATACTATTCAGCCATAAAAAAGATGATCACTTCACATCTTGTGTATTAACCTGGATGGAGTTGTAACACATTTTTTTCAGGGAAGTTTCACAAGTATGGAAAAGCAGATATCCAGTGTACTCAATATTAATATGAAGCCAGTAGACAATCTATTTCATGCTCACATAGGAGAAAAACTCAATTCAATTTAAGTTAGGGGAAGGGGAGATGAAGGAGAAAGGAGAAGAGAGGAAGGGTTGGGATGCTGCCACTGAATGGGCACAAAATAGGGGTGTATGGCACACCTTTTGGGTGTGAAATATAACTGCAAGAGGGACTTTATCTAAAAAATTCAAATATTGTGACTTGATTGTATCCTCACATTAACCTGAAACAAAATTAAAAAATAAAATAAAGAAATATGTCAAAAGTAGACCACTTACTTAAAAGAAAAAATTTGAGAAACCCTTACTTAGAGAATTAGTGACAGGGAAATTCACATCTTTGTTTTTTCAGTGCATGTGGGCACTCAAATTATTCACTAGAATAAACATGTTTTAATCAAATAGCAGATACTAACTTACAATAATCAATAAAAAATGGGATAGTCAGAAATCACAAATCTCCAGAAATTTCAGCAATGGAAAACATCAGGAATTGTGTCATTTCCTTCCCCTCATACTTTTGCCCCTCAGATTAAAGAACGTAAAAACATGGTTCCTGCCTCTGAAAGGCTCGTGTCAATGGTGAGTGGTACCTTCAGTGCCGTCTGGCTCAGCCTGCTCTTCCCTTTGCTTTTGCTTGAACTTCATGTTCCCATAATGCATCACAGCCCCAGTGAGCTTATAAATGGCCGTCTTTTCATCAGGAGTGAAACCCAGGATGTCTATAGCACTCTGTGGAAAGAGTTGGATTTACTTATCACCCAATTATCATCATGGCAAATTCCCTCAGAACACCAGGCCTGCCCTTCTCCCACTTTTTCCTCATCACACCTTGCCTTATGTTTGATCAGCACCTTGCTGTTTTCAAAAGGCACTCATATGCTTCACCTCTTTGATCCACATGCAATACTAAGATGTATGTGTCACTCTTTCCATTTCAGTCATGTGGATAGTAAGGATGTTGAATGGCTTGTCCACACTCAGCCAAGGTGCATAACCATGACTTTGGATGCCAGGAGCAGTATTTCTCTGTCCCAGCCCACCCTTATTCCTCAGGCATACGCTCCTTAGGGTCCCTGGGCTGTTCTTGCTGCTTCTCTCCAGCATCACAAATCTCTTTTTTGCTCTTTATTCTCCTGTGTTGTCCTATCCTAATAAATACATAGTCACAGTCTACCATCCCCACCTAATGGGCATGAAGGATGCAGTAGGAAAGAAAATATGAGAACAGCAGTGGCCCCAACTATTTGTCTATATGCCTCTGGTATCAAGTCACAGCTCTACTGACCATAAGATGCCTGGGAGTGAACTTTACCTGTTTTAGTTTTTGTTTTCATTTTTAATGCAGGGAAGAGACATTTTTGAAAAGAATTTTCTCCTTTTGGTGAAATACTTCTGTGTCTTTTTTTCTCTATCAAATTTTGATTACTTGCTTAGTTCCCCGTGTATGTTTTGGAAAAGTTTGTAAATGGGGGCAGGCATCAGAGAAAGTACAGGGAAATGTGTTTGTTTACCACTCTGACCTCCTAAGACTCTCACCATGCTTAACTGCTTTTCAGTTCCAGCTCACTAACTACTGATTTACAAAACTTAGACATTATTGCAGAAGTCCCAGAGCAATATTGCTATATTTTCTTTTAACTTCCCAGAGTAGGGTTATTTCTCAACTCCAAATCACTTTTGGACATATAAACATATTAAGTTAAAGAAAGTAAAAACTTGTATTTATAAAGTAAAGGCACACACATAGATTATTCCTTTAAAATAATAATTTAAAAGAAAATGTACCTTGCCAAGCAACTTTCAACCCTACCTTGGGAGTGTTGGGATATTTCTACTGATATTAAAGTTAAAAATGAGCAAAGAAGATTATTCAGAAATTTTAAAGAGAACATGAAATATATATAAAGTTTTTGTGTAAGGAAAATAAGCTAAAAAGTAATTATCCTCAACAAAAGAGGTGGTGGGGGGAAAGAATGTGTGGTTTCAAAAATAAATATAAAGGGGCTCAGCTTCCAAACCGTAGTAATTAAGGCACCAGCCACATATACCGAGGTTGGTGGGTTTGAACCAAGCCCAGACCAGCTAAGCAACAAAGACAACTGAAACAGAAAAATAGCTGGGTGTTGTGGCGAGCGTCTATAGTCCCAGCTACTTGGAAGGCTGAGGCAGGAGAAACACTTGAGGCCAGGAGTTTGAGGTTGCTGTGAGCTGTGATGCCACAGCACTCTATCCAGGGTGACATAGTGAGACTCTGTCTCAAAAAAAATAAATAAAATAAGTAAATAAAAAGGTTAATGGAGTCCCATTCTTTCTAATGCTACATAGGAAGAAGAGAGGTGTATATCATTAACTCAGAGAGATACATTCAGGACGTGTTTGCGCAAGTAAACACTATAGATTATAGAGGAATTTTGAGAATTTCATGTTTAATTATTTAAAAAATGCGAAAAGATTGTATCTCTTCCCCAGGTTCTTGGGTGTAAGGTATGGCATAAAGTAGAAGAGAAACATCGATATTGGAGTATATATATATTGACCAAAAATGACCAGTAAGATAGAATAAAAAGAACTTATTAGCCAAGGAATGCCAAAGATCTAACATTTCTTATAGGCATCTAAAATTTTCTAATACATGTTGGTGGAGGACATTGAAATGTTCTGTAATTTTCTTCCAAGGGTAAGAAATCCCAAAAGGTATTATAGTGTTACCTGTCCATACACATAGTCTTTCTGATCATGCTTTCCTCTCTAATAGACAAGTGTTGTTTACTGAAAAAGGAATTTGCTTTTTCCTACTTTGAGCCTATTACTTACATCTGTGGCCATCAGTTCTTCTTGGTCATTAATGCTGGGCACACTAATTTCACCTTGACTGACAAAAGCATAGTCATATGGGTTGGTGGTGATCAGAAGCATTTCTGAACATGTGAAAAAGAACAATATACAGACAGAGTTACTTTGGTATCAAAAACATTTCAGAGGGACTTCTTGAAAGGGTTGCTACTCTTCCTTGGCAAAAACAAATCAAAGATGCTTTTTACCAATAAGCTCTGGTCTCTTGTTGGACATGATTTGATAGAATATGTGGTAGCTTCTTTCAGCCTTTAGCTGGAAAGTAACTCGAGACTTCTCTAGTAGATCTGGAAAGTCAGATAAATTCATTTAAAAGAAATGATCACAGTGCAAAATTAAGCATTTGAAAATTCCACACAACCTAAATATGAACAATAAATATATTTACAATATATACTCACAAGGAAAAAGATTCACAATCACTAACATTTAACTTAAAATATTCACAATCACTAATATTAACTTACATGTTTCAATATCTGCAGAAGCCAATTTGCCTGTGGCACCAAAATGGATCCTGATGAATTTACCCTTAAAAAGGCAAAGGAGGGCTTATTATACATATTTAAAGGCAGAAACTATTTCTTTAGCTATGGACCAAATAGATGGAAAGACACTGACAGCGCATGTGCAGAAGTGCCTGTGCTGATTCTCATTTGAAGGAGAATGCCAAGGAGACTTACAAAGCGAGAGGAGTTGTCATTCCTCACAGTCTTGGCGTTGCCAAAGGCCTCCAGTAGGGGGTTGGCACTGATGATTTGATCTTCCAGAGTCCCCTTAAGAGAAATGAATAAGACAGACAAGGTGAGTTGCAGTAAATAATTCCCTATTGGCCTCTGTCCTTTTCCCTTTTCCCCTTCATAGTATTTTATAACTTAGGGTAAGACTTTCTAAAGTAAGTGAAAAGGAGGACAAATTGGGAAGTGGGATACTCTATTGATGTGACCTTGATTTCTATACAGTAGTAGGAGCACTACTTTTTGCTCCTAATAAATGGTTATGAGAACTTTTGCCTGTTGTGCTTACTGACACATTGCCCTATCCATCACATTGTCACCAGCCCTTCCAAGAGTTATTTTCCCAGTTCTGGCATCACATGTAATTGGTGGCTGTGGTTTTGAAGTTAAATATTAAAGCCCATTATTTCTTCTGTCCTCAGATGAATATTATACTTACCTGTATTTTCCCCCCAGAGGGAGGTTCCTCCTTCTTCTTATCTCCAGTGACTGCAATTGTTGCAAAGTACTGGATGACACGCTTAGTGTTCACGGTCTTCCCTGCCCCGGATTCTCCACTGTCAAGTCCAAACAGAAGAAAAGGTCAGAATCTAAGGCATTAGTAACCACTACACTGAGCAAAACTCAACAGAAAGAAAGTTATAAATTTACATACGTAATCAGAATTGACTGGTTCTCACGATCTGTGAAAGAAACCAAAGGTAATGTTAACAAAACATACTCAGTGCATAGGTTATTACAGGACTTGTACCTCAAAATTATCTTTTAAAACTCTCATTTGCAAAAATAATGACATAAACTTATGCTTTGCTTTTTACAATATTTTTTTAAATAAGTAGCAAAAGAAGTGATAATCAGTGTTATACTCTCATTATTTGCGATGTAATAAAAAATGTATTATTTTGCCATTTTATACATGACAGTAAACTATTAATGTCAGGTTAATAATAATTTTGTGTCCCACTCAGTCTCCTGGATTAATGTTCATCCAAAGTTTTACATAGTGCTCATGATAACTTGTCATTTTGAGAAGTCAAAGCTTACTTTTGAGGAGACATGATATATTAGCTATAATTAAATGCAGAGTTGATTCTTAAAGTTTGTTCATTTTGAGCTAGAATCACTACTAATTCATTTGGGTTTAAGCATAAAAATATAAATAAAATTGTCTGTATTTTTAGAACTAGTGCATTTTATTCTAAATATATTTGCCTGATTTTATTGCTTCTAATATCATATGTGTTGCTGAACATTTTACTCTCAAAGTATTGGCCCCATGTTTTCTGCATTTCACAAATGGCTGTAGAAATTGTAATTATGGACTCACTCACCAGTCAGCATGAACTGATAGGCGTTGTCAGAGATGGAGAAGATGTGGGGTGGGGCCTCCTGACGCTTTTTGCCTCTGTAGGCCCCCACCACCTCAGGGTTGTACACTGGAAGCCACTTATAAGGGTTGACAGTGACACAGAAGAGGCCTGAGTAGGTCTGTGGGAAAGGACAAGGTTGCCCAATCAGCCATCATTAATTTACTGGGGAAATAGTGCTTTAAGGGCTGGGACCTAAGTACTGTGTTAGTTTTCACAAGTCTTAATAGCTTCATTCATTCCTTGCCTCCTTTTGTCATCTGCTGCTACACTAAATTCTTCCCTTTTTTCACCTAATTTAGTTAAGTGGATGGCTTTCCACATGTACATTTTCAAATTCATGAGAATTTACATTTATGAAATGATTGAGAGAATAGGGCAATAGTCGAATCTATTAGAAGTTCCTGATTTGTTTCAGTTGACACAGTCAGCTTGTGGAGTGGGTGAGAAGCAGCATGGAAGGGCACTCACATAGATCATCCAGGCTGCATAACGCTCTTTGAGGTTGTACAGCACGGCAGGCTCATGCAGGTGAGTCATCATGGCCATGTCCTCGATTTTGTCATATTTGGGAGGGTTCATGGAGAAGATTTGATCTTCCTTTACTGTGACAGTCTTTAAGAAAAGTAGAGTCATAGGGTATGAACTAAGTAGTAGGGAAAAATAGAGAACACTTCCTCCTCTTCCCCCCCACCACATTTTCTTTTTACTTACAGCACCAGCTTCTGTCTTCACTGTCACTTTTCCCCCCTCCCTGCTCTGAACCACGCTTTTCACATAGGACTCCTTAGGATCCACCACAAAGACAGAATTCTTGGCATCAAAAGGTTTGTTCTGAGCTTCAATACGCTCCCTTTCAGACTTTCGGAGGTAAGGAGCAGCCTCCCCAAAAACTGCCATCTCTGTGTCGGAACTCATGGCTGCGGGTTATTGATGGCAGCCCAGCACTAGGTGTACCTAAAGGAAGAAACAGAGCAGATGATAACCAAGGGTTGGCCTGCAGAATTGTTCTGTTGATTTCATCTTAAAGTGCTTTATTTGCCACACTTGTTACCTTGCCTCTGGCTTTAGCAACAAAGCATGTGGACTCTGCTCAAGGAGCTGAGCGATTAGCTCATTGATTTGAAAGCCCTCTGTTGGAAGCTTAATTGTTGTGACATTTTAAGCCTCCATTCCATCCTCTACATTGTAAGCCTTAGTTGAGAAATGTGGATGAATTGATAAACAGCAAAATTCATGATGCTCCAAGTGTGTTCACAATCTTTTCTTTTACTATTTACTTTTCTTTCATTTCCTGTGTTCAGTCAGTCTTCCTCTTTTTTTTTTTTTAACATTGTGATGATACAAAGAAATGGAAAATAGCTGTTTTCCAGTAGCTTTACAATCTAAACAAATCTATTTTAAAAACTCAAGTATAGGTAGTAAGGCAAATTTTCCTCTTGTCCCAAATTACCAAAATTGATGTAAAAATTATTAAAGTTGGATGTAAAAATGTACATCTTTTAGGACATAAGACTGTGTTGAAAGAACCTAATACAAGTATACCAACAGGTACCATATATTAAGTAAGTAAAGGGAAAAGTAAGTTCAATGAAAGCTGAAAGTTCCAACGAACAATTTTGTCCTCAGTCAAAATTAAATCTGTGGTTAGTATGTATTTCTTTTTGATGTTAGTTCGATTTCAGCATACCAGTTGTTAAAAAAAATCTGATTCTTATTGTTCTAGGTTTATGATCTCTTTCCCTTCTCCTCTCTTTTAAAAATATCAGGCTTCTAAATACTTTTTTCTGAAATGGATAGACAATATAAAAATTTATGCCAAAATTTAAGCAGTTTTTCCCACTGACAAATTGATTATGAGAAAATAAAATAAGTCTGTTTCTCTGAGGGACTCATCAAGGACACAATGAGTGACTGGAGTAAAAGAAGGTGACCTCTGTGGAGTAGTAGGGGGAATGGTTGTGGAAAGCAGTGTCTTGATTGACAATGATAACAGTGTCTTGATTGACAATGACAATAATAACAAAGACAACAGAGACAATGACAACAGCCAAAATCTTTTGTAGGTTTTCCAAAAAAAGTCTTGGTTTTTTGTCATCAGCATTAAACTTCCTCTCAACTTGGAATGTGAGATATGAAATTTGTCACATACTCTCTCTCTGTCTAAAATCAGTCTGATCTATAAAAGTCTCCTGATGATACAGTGAAATTTAGATGTATTTTCAGGAAACAGATATTAGAACATTTAACCTTAGTATTTTTTTCTTTGAAAAAGAAATGTGATTAAGAAGAAAAAGAAAGAAATGTTATGCTATCACATATCTCACACAGCTGAGATATCATCTTATATCTTAGATCAGTTGTTCCCTGTTTGTGTGTCACAAGTCCCTAAGGAGCTTCAGGTTTGTTGCAAGGAGTCCTTGAATTCACCCACACAGTGATAATTGCCTCAAGTTTAAATTCCATACAAGCAATGTTTTCTATTCTTTTTAAAATGAATATAGCAACTGTATTAAATAAAATACTTAAAATAATTATTAAATAAGTAGTAGGCTTTCATTATTATATATAGTCTTAACATAATACTAAAAGTACCTTTCTCAGCGTGCACAGTTGGGGGATGTCCATTGAGTCTATGGAGGACTCCTTGGAAACCACTGACTTTGATCATAGATAGTAAGAGCTGAAAGGATCTTAGTAGTTATCAACCTCCTCATTTTACTGATGGGAAAACTAAGGCTCAGAAAAGTGAAGGGTCATTCAATGTCATAAAGGTAGTAGGTGGCAGTGCTGGAACATGAACTCTGTTCTCCTAAATCCAGGTTTATTGCTAATTCCACTGCAACATACGCTGTATCTCAAAATCTGTAAAAGCTAACTGGCTTGACCTAGGTGACTAGAATCAGTGAAAAGCCTAGACTGGCACCCAGAAATTTTTACTTCCAGATCAACACATTATTGATCTTACAAGTGATCTCTCTGATAAATTCTTAAAGGATAAGTTGGAGTAGTAGTTCACATTAAATTTTACATGTGATGGTTGCATTATTTTTGAAGTTCTAACATGAGAAAGGGAAGTTTCATACATTTTGGTTGATACAATGGCCTGAAAAGTCATTATTTTATGCGAAGTCATTTTTAAAGAACAGCTATTCCATGTATGCTATTTCTAACACTAAACTATGAAATAAAATGGTAGCTCATTAAGATGCAGCAATTTAGAGATTCCTTTGTTCTTTAGAGTGTAATAATAAGTTACTCTTACCTCTTGTGTTAACCAGATGAAGAAGGTGACAGGCTCAAAGCAGACGCCTACTGTTGAAAGAAAAAAAAAGAGAGAATGCAGGATTCTTTTACCGTTTAATCACAAAATACTAGTTAACTATAATGTGTACTGTATCATCTTTAAGAATGCTGGAAAGAAAAATTAAAATTTGGGTAATAGTGGCCATCTCCCTTAAATGAAAAATCATCATCATCAGGAATGTAAAACCAGACAAGTGTTCTTCCACAAATACACACCTTTAAGAATTTTGAGGAAGGACGGGACAGAGGCATCTCAGCTCCACTTTTATAGAGACTGTTCTGCAAACACAGCAGCCACCTCAGCTGTCCTAGTTGGGAACCCACTTGGCAACACCTTTTTTGGCAGTCTCTTTGCACAATATTCACTGACTGTAGCTGTGAATGGATATAATTAGAAATATTTCTTGTCACCTATAAATAATTTGACAGGATGATCTGGGGTTCTTTAAAGGCATTGGATAGGGGATTGGGATTCAGGACTTCTAAGGCTATTTCTCCTGCTTGGCTCTTGTATCATACATTGCAGATTCAAAGCTAGATTCCCACTTACTCCTTTGCCTATAAAATTGGTCCTACAGGATAAGCCTGACATGAGGAGTTTAGGATTAATTGATTTGTTAGTGCTTAGAGCCATTAAAGAGTCTGGAATGAATTTTAGATCTGACACTATGACTGGAAGCAGGGAGTGATAGCTATTAAGAACGGAAAATTCCTAGCCACAGTCTGGATTTTAGAAAGACTGGTGATAGATTCTTTTAAAGTCTGAAAGTCTAAACATGAAGGTGAAAGTGAATTCTCAGATTAGGCAGTGGTGATGGACCAGTGGGGGAGGCCTAAGGGATTTAGAATAGAAATAAACACTTGTGTTTCTTTTCTGGAGGACTTTCCATGGATGTCTCCAGCTTGTGTGTTTGCACTGAGGGAACAGCAGGATGCTGTGTGGTGTCCCGTGCATGTTTCCACTGCTTCATGGAAAGGGACACAGACACACTTTTGTAGGCAAACCCTCATGACTAGCTCTAGCTCTAAGAAGGTGGGTGCTGTATAATTTATTGAAGGTAGGAGGAAAGACATGGTATCCACAGTACTCTCCCTGTGGATAGGGAAAATGAGTGGGCTATTACATATGCCCATAGTACTCATAAATTGGATTTTGGGAATTTTGCCAAATGCACAGCTGTGGTTGAATGTGATCTGCATACTCTAAGTATGTCCCTAAGATCTGGTGTAATAATTTTCAACTATCATGCTGCTAGCTTAAATTACTGATTAATGAGATCACTGTTTTTATAATTCTTTTGACATAGGATTTCTCTTTAACACATTGACAGATTGACTCTTTCATACTTTCAAAATTTCTTTTGATAAAATACTATGAAATAGGTAAGGCTTTTTTCTTTTTAATCTCTATAGAAATGACTAACAGAAGTCTAGTCATTTACTCCAAGTATTAGCCTCTAGTCCAGAAAGAAACTAGCTATAATTTTTCTGTAGGATTTTCACAACTCATTTATTTTTACTTCTGTTAAAACTTGCTTTGGTTTCTCTTCAGCATGAACAAATCTTTCACCTTTTACTTCTTATGGAACCTGATACCTGAGTTATGGATAAGTAACTAGGTATTTATTAAACATACTTACTATATTTGGTACTGAAAGAGGAAAGAAGAAAATATGAATGAAACCCCTACACATAGTTTTAGAATTCTCACTAATGAGGATTCTTTATCTAAACTTCAGAACTTTGATCAGTTACCTACAGACTGATCACTCAAATCTTGAAAGCTCAGAAATAAAACAGTGATATTCTAGTGGCACCAAACATGGACTACTAGAAGTGAGCCCGAGAACTCTGCTGACCTTGAACAGGGAAAGAAGAGAAGGAACACTGAATGAGGAAAGAGACATTTCCTTAGACCTGCTTCTTGAAAGGTTGTTTACATACAAAATATGGGAATTGAATGCCAAGACATATTTGTTTGTTTCTTTATGATTAGCTATGGGTAGGAAGAATGGCCTCAATCTAAAATAGAGTTATCTTGGATGCTGTATTTATTTATTTATTTATTTATTTATTTTATTAAACGATAGCTGTATACATTAATGCCATCATGGGGTACAATGTGGTGTTTTCACATACAATTTAAAATATTTTCATCAAACTGGTTAACTTAGTCATTTTCTTAGTTATTGTGTTAAGACATTTATATTCTACTTTTAGAAAGATTCACTTGTACCCTTGTAAGATAAACAATAGAGGTGATCCCTTGAATCACTCTCCCTTCACCCATCTACCCTCCTCCTTTCCCCTCCCCTTCCCTTCTCCCCCCCCCATATTCTTAGGCTGTAATTAGGGAAAGATCACCTATATATCTGTCTAACAAGGGTACAAGTGAACTTTTCTAGAACTAGAATATAAATGTTTTGACACAATGACTAAGCAAATGGCATGAAATCTATGTTAACCAGCATGATGAAAGTATTTCAGATTGTATATGAAAACACTACACTATACCCCATGTTTGCATTAATGTATACAACTATCATTTAATAAAAAAAAAAGAAAGCTATAAATTAGTTTCATAATAGGGCTGTGTACATTGGATACCTTTT